AATTTCTTGAAAAATAATCTTAAACATTTAAACTTGTCTGGGTTTCAGTTGAAGTCTGGATGTGACACTGAGGAATATAGGGTTTGTGGGACATTAGGGACAATCAGTTAAAACAGGAGTTCACTCTTTAAGGTGAATTAGGGGGTCTATAGAAGTTGAGCATACAAAAGGTGTTTTGTTTGCTGGCTTTGTAATGCAGTTTTCTGTTTTCCTCTTTTCAAAGGGAGGTGTAGGTTAAAGCGTATAGATTGGACAAGATGAGACATAGAGCATGGTAAGTAGATAACGGGTGAGAGTGGCTAGTTTCACTTAGCACTGAAGACATGAAGAGCAGTGCTCTATAAAGGATTCTTGCATGAGTACAGGAAGAGAGGAAGCAGAACACAGGAATGTGGGAAGATAGTAGTACATTTTGAACTGGTTTTAAAAGGAAGTAATGCAAACTTTATTTAAAGCAAGAAAGAAAGAACAAGGAGACAGGACAACACCCCTTTACTCCATGATCGACACCCCTGGGCTGATGGTCCAAAGTTTAACAAGCTTAATCTTAAAGCTCTGCAAAACGTGGTTGTATTAAAAATAAGAATAAAACGTTTCAGTGATAAATATTAATACACATAACACATTTATAATTCTTTTATTTACCATTTTTGTTGATCTATTGCATAAAATCCTATAAAAATTTTTGAAAGTCTTCCTCTGAAACTTCAAGGTTCAAAGACACTGTACTGTGAAAGCCAACCTGATAATCGCAGGAAATACTGGCAGCTCATATAACTGAAACAGAGAAGATGGCTCTCATACAGGGTGGTCAGAATGAGTTCAGCCCCCTTTCTTTCAGCTCAGGCCTTTTATGAACCAACCGCACAGCTTAGCACCGGATCCATCCATGTCCACAATCTAGAACATTCCTCAAATTGGAAACATTTTATGAGCTTGTACGCTTCAAGGAAGCTGGATTTAAGTGTAAATAAATTACACATGTAACGAGTCGTCAGAGAGTATTGATCTGAGCCTGTAGGCACACAGCCACAAAAACCTATACAAATACAGATTATATTATTATTTGCAAAATATACCTTTACAGCTGCATGTTTACTTGGTTTACTGATAAATTAATTGCTATGATATTTCATTTCACAAGCAGTCTCAGTTTAGTTTGCATTTATATTATTAGCATTATATATCTATGATCATATTCTTTTGATCAATTGAATTTGAAACATGCTTCCCTTTTGCTGCTCTCCCTCTCCTGTGTTTAACCAACTGACATCATCTCCTAGCTGGATCCTGCAGGACTTCCTGGAAACACACACCAGGGGATGCATAAAGAGATGAAAGGTGTCCTTATCTGACAGATGTCACATTTGATGCAAACTTACCGACATGCTTCAGGATAAGCACCAGTGTCATTATAACAGCAGGATGAGGACCGGCAACTTTAAGCTTCATAATATTGATGCAAAGTTTTTTATTAGTTTTATTTGGGTATATTTCAAATGGTATTTTCAGTAATTTATATAAAACAAAAAATGATAAAAACAAAATAATTATGTGTCAGCCAATTTTATAAATGTGCTTAACAAAATAGGCTTTTACAAAATCAGAATTTATGATTTTTATGGTTTGATTTTGCCCAACATATTCAAATTACGTAAATAACTTAACTATTTGGTTCAATGTTGATTAAACTCTGTTTTAATTGATTTCTATTTTATGATCAAAATGAGAAAGAAAAATAATACTGCCAGTTTCTAAATTCATCCATGTGTTTAAAATTCCCCAATACAGAATCATACCTTTTGATATTTATTCAATACTTTAAGATCATTCACTGCTATGGATACTTTTTATAACAAAGATAATGTTTTATTGGAAAATTCATCCAAACATGTTTAATGGGTTCCCCTGACAATCATCGCTAATAAACACCTTTATGGGGTTTTTTTTGTTTTTAATGAAGTCAGTAGCTCTGTTCTCAGAGTGAAAAAAGCAGAAATAAAAAAAGCTGAAAGATTAGAAAAAAGTAGGATGTCTTTTACTTCATCCTGGTGTATTTAATAAATTGTTAAACATCTGTTGCTATGCTGGTAAACTCTTCATTTGACAACTTGTAGAGACAGTCTTCATCAAATGCCCCTTATATGCGTTACACCACTGATAAAGTCATAATAAAGTTAGTTATACTTTGTTTCTGCTTTTGTTTTATTGGAATGTTGTGTTTTGCTCATATTTGGTTTCTAGTTGTTTGAAAATAAGGATCTAAATAACTTTAACAAATGAACAGGTACAGTTTTAATGATCAATAGTTAAATTAGGCTGTTTCTGATTTATCGAACATTTTACTCATAGCGTAAACATGCAGCCTTCATCACATCTATGACAAGTAATGTTTTTTTTAGTTTGGTCAACCTGCATGTAATTAATTAATGGACTTGGAGAATAGAGATAAAATGAAGCAGAATGATGAATAAGGGGTCCCTATGTCCTCCAGCATTCCAAGCCTGTAGCAGCAAAACTACGAGGTGGAAAGGCACAAAGTGCTTCTAAAAATCATTAAAAGGGTCCTACAATGCAAAACCGAGTTTACATGGTCATAGATGAATAAAAATGGTTCAGTGGGTGAAATGGAGGTACAGAGAAGTTCAAACCCCATCGAGATGGGGTCTAAGATAAAACCTAATTTTTTGTAAATCGGTTTTCTCTTTGCACAGTACAGATAAAAGTTTTTTTAAAAGAACCCCACCGAGCACATATTTGTTAAAAGGACATTGGAAAGTTAACATGATTTACATCCAAACGACGTCTATGCTTGGTTGAGAACTTATAGGTGAAAAGCCGGATTTTTCAGATCTTTGAAAAGACTTTAAAAAACTGGGTTTGCAACGTCTTTTATTGGACTAAAGTGGAACAAAAATCGGACCAACCTAAACAGCCCAATTTTCAACGACTGATCAGGCCCCGTCCACACGAAGTCAAAACGAACACGAAACGCTAATATTTTCCAGAACGTCTGTCGTAAAGACGGAGACGTAAAATAAATGTGATCGTCCACACGAATCCGAACCCTGGCCTAAACGCTCAAATTTTTCACCAAACCAGCCTCTCATCCACACGAAGCCGAACCCTGGCCTAAACGCTCAAATTTTTCACCAAACCAGCCTCTCATCCATACGAAGCCGGCGTTTCGGGGTCTGTAAAC